AAGGGCGATTAAAGAAGCAAGGATATGTGTCATCTGGAAGGCAACCGACGAACTTCTATTAGCCAAGATTGAGATTCACACGATACCGTTTGAAGGGGAGTCGTTTTTTCGAGAATGGCGAGAAACCATAACTGAGGTAAGAACAAAACTAAGAGAGGACGTCGGAGAGCTCAGAGAGTTTTCCAACGACATAGTCGATGGAATTTTGTTGAGAACTTTGGAAGCTAACTCGTGATATTCAAAGGTTGTGCTGACCACTGCTTTAGTTGTCAGAGTTGAGGGAGAGGGCACTGACTTCGAGGCATTGCAAGAAATACTAAAAGGATCAATCGAAAGGATTTTAATTGCCTTGAACCGAGTAGCTAAAAATTAGATAGGAAAGATGGATGATAAGGAGGCTTATTTGACTTCGATGGGAGGTGACATGAAAATGCAAGAGTCAAGGACTAATAGCCCTGAGAGGAGGATGGGTGTAGAGATTATAAGTGACGCTGAAAAACAGAGAAATGCCTTAAGAGTGTTAGATATTCGGGTCAAAGAGTTGGAAGAGCGTAGGGAAAAGGGCGAAGGTCGGAGGAGAGAGGTTTTGACTAGGCCCAGAGCGCCAAGGTTTACCGATTCAAGAGTTAGGGACCCGTAGAAAGAAGTTCTCAGTCAGTCTCACAGAAGGAGCCCCTACTCTGGCTCCTATGTGCCCCCTTTCTTTGAGGCCTCAGTGTACCAACCGCCGACGTTGACCGAGATCCAAACGATCTTCACAAGAAATAATGTCTTTGAATTCATGGATGACTGGGAGGTTATTGAAATAAGAGGAGAGTGGAGTGACTAGGAGATGATTGCAAACTTCCTCCACCATACGGTACCAAAGATAGACCAAGAAGTAAGGAACGCCATTCCAGACAATGGTTATTAGCTGATGTTCAGGGAGAAGGTTACTAGAGTCTTCGCTTATGATTAAATCTCATACTCGGTAGAGAATCTGAAAAAAAATGAAAAAAGAGGAGGAGGAAAGTCTGGTAGCATTTGCGAGGAGATACGAGAAGGCCTCGAATCCGTTGGTGGAAGGCAGATTTATGGGAGAACTGGAAAGATGTGGAATGTCCATAGGATCCTTATTGCGAGAGAGGCGTGAAATAATTGTGAGGGAACTTCCCTCTAAAGGCGTGACGTTTGCGCCAGTTAAGGCTTTAACCCACGACATGGAGGGACAGAGCGCTAAAGCATATATCCTAAAAGTCCTTGATAACTTAGGAAAGGGAGTAACTTCGGGAAGAGGAGGAGAAAAACTTAAAACTAAGGATAGAAAGCCTAAAGTGGAAGGGAGAGACACAAATTCGAGCTCACCCAGAAAGAGAGAGCCTAGTAGCAGTGATGGTGAATGGAGGAAGGAGAACTGAGGAGATTGAAAAAGAAACGATGAAGAATGGGGAACCTCCAAATAGTCTAATAGCAAAGACAATCGGTGGAAGTTTATGGATGAGATAGAGACCAGGGAAACGGAAAGACGAGAGGATGAAATGGCAAAGCAAATAGAGACATTGAAAGCGGCAATGGAGAAACTATAAAATAGCAGTCAGAGAAAGGAAAAACCGCCTATCCGAGTCATTCCATGACCAGAGGGGCGGGAGAAAGAAAACTCGAGTCCAAGACAGGCATGGAATGATAAGGCTTGCATGTATTGTGGTGATGAAGACCACAGGAAGAGGGACTGTCAAGTCATGCTAGATGCATTAAAGGAAGGAATCATCGAATTAGATGATAAAAAATACGTGATGTGGGTAGACGAAGGGAAGTCTGTGCCCTTTTTCCCTTTGTTGAAGATTAACGTTGATATCCGAAGAAGAAGAATGAATGAGGCGAAGGGTAAACAGGCACAGGCGCCCTTAGCAACAAAGGTCTCCAGGGTAACCTTCGAAGACGAGACTGATGACACACTTGAGAGCCTGAGGATGGGGATTTCCTCTATTAAATTTGAGGAAACGATGAGCGATAGCGAGGTTTTCGTCTGTACTCAAGAAGTTGGGGAGTCGAGTCACGGAAAGAAAGAGGATCTGGATCAACCAATAACGGATGAGCAGGTGGAGTCGCCCAAGTCGCCCCTGTCCCCTAGGAAAAGAGGGTCTGAGAAATTCCAGTTAAAAAGCACGTTGAACGAAGTGGACCTAAGAGAACCATTAAGAAGAGCGATGAACGTGCCCATCCCCATCATCCTTAAGGAATTCATAGTCGGATGTGGTCCCGCGAGGGATGAGCTAATAGGAATGATGAAGAAAGCTAAGGTGTCACTTCCAGGGCGACGGTCGCTGAAGACTGTAAAGTAGAGGCGACGACTTCTGTATTAGCCGCGAAAAAAATGACGGAGAAAGATGGGGAGACTATTGAGGGTGATAATAGTTACTTCTACGTCCTTGGTAGTGGAAAACTAAATGTCACTGTGAATGGAGTTAGGATGGAGGCTATTGCGGATGATGGGTCTGAATCCACTGTGTGTGAAGATAAGGTAGCCCGAAAACTGAGGTTAGAAGTGAATAGAAATGTTGTGATGACCATGGTATCGGCTACCAAGTTGAGGCAACCAACGCTTGGGGTATGTCATAAGGCCAGGGTGGTGGTGGCTGGAGTCGAGACCACCGTGCCAGTTTTCACGGTGGAACATTGTTTATCAGAACTAATCCTTAGGAGGACTTGGTTGACACATGTCAACGCCACCACTGAGAATAAGCGGGATGGAAGCCATACAGTCACCATAGATGGGCCCGAGGGCAGCAAGGTTACACTAAAGACCATGAATGAGTTTGACAAACGTCACAAAGTTTCCTAGCAAAATAAAGGTCAGCTAAAGACGCGAAGTTGCCAGATGGTTCATGAAGAGGGCCTCATAAAGTAAAAGGTAAGAAGGTTGAGGTTGAAGATTTGGAGGATAAGTATGTGGTAGATGGGATTGTTTGCCCAAAGGAAAGCGACGACGACGAGTTTGGAGGGTGCATAAACCTGTCTTTTTTGGAGGAATCCCCCCTCACGGCGGGGGGAAAAGATACAAGATTGTAGCCAAATAAGTTAAGCCTGTTGCGGTTAGCTGTGATAGGACAGGGGAAATAGGGATCACTAAGGAAGAGACAACTCAGATGATCTGGAAACGAAAGGTCATTGAAGGGCAACGAATTACTGAAGAGAGGTTGAAGTTGGTGGACATAGGCGATGGGAATATAACCGAGGAGGAGAAAGATCTGATAATTGAGACACTAAGAGTCTGCGGCAAAGCGGTAGAGTTCTGTGATGCGGAGAGGGGACGAATAGATCCTCGATATGGTAAATCAGTGGGGATCTACACAGTTCCACATGTGCCATGGAATGATGCGGGATGGAAGTGTGCTCGGAAGGAAAAGGAGATGATAATGAACTTCCTGGACGAAAAAATCAGGACGTTCATAGTTGAACCGTATGAGAGTGCCTATGCAAACAAGTGGTTCTTCATACGGAAGTCAAATGAAAAGTTATGGCGGATACAAGACCTACAAAAAAAGAATAAAGTCATGGTTAGAGATGTTGGGTCCATTCCAAATGTCGATGTCCTATCCGAGGGGTCAGTCGAGCGTTCAATTTACTCAGTCTGCAATCTTTTCTCAGGCTACGATGAGATTTCACTTGACTATAGAGACCGACATCTAACTGTGATGCACACGCCATTAGGGTTAATCCAGATGATGGTAGTACCGATGGGATGGACTAATGGCGCTGTTGTCTTTCAAAGAGCGATGATGGCAGTGTTGGGAGAGCTTATACCAAATTTTGTGGAAGTTTTCCTATACGACTTTCCGATCAAAGGGTCGTACAAGAAGGATGAAACTGAGGTGAAACCTGGAGTAAAGACGTTCGTTGCAACCTACGCCGAGGACATACAAAGGGTGCTAGTGAGGCTAGAAGACGTGAATCTCACGGTGAGTGGGATCAAAAGTAGGTGGACGGTATCCTCCATTAATATATTGGCTATATCTGTGACAAAGACGGCAGGCGACCAGACCCGGCGAAGCTAGAAAAACTTATGAACTGACATACTCCGCTCCGACATATTACCGACATACGTCAGTTTTTATGAGTGATCAGGTTCTAGAAGAATTTTATAAAAGGGTACGCTGAAAAGACAGAATCGTTAAGGAGGCTACTACGTAAAAGGATAAAGTGGAAATGAACAAGCGAGCAAGAGGGTGCAGTAAAAGTATTAAAGAACGAGTTTAAGGAAGGAGGTAAGATCTTAGGTGTTCCTTATTTCAAGGATGAAAAGAAGAGACCATTCGTGGTATGCACTGACGCAGGGCCGACATCCGTCGGTGGAGTCTTGGCTCAAAGAGACTCTAGTGGTAAGGAAAAGCCTCTCAGATTCGAAAGTAAAACACTAAACACCACCGAAAGAAGTTATTCCCAGTTCAAAAAAGAGGTTCTCGGAGTGTTGTATTGCTTGAATGTCTTCATACATTATATTTACGGACGGAGATTCATGTTGCGGGACGACCCGACGGTGGTAGTTGCTGTATTGCAAAAGAATTTATATTTGATAGACCCTACGATAACTAGGTGGCTCATGCACATAAGGATGTTCGATTATATGGTTGAGCGGATATTTGGTGCTAAGAACTTGGTGGCAGATGGATTGTCACGGATCCCGTTAGAAGAAGGAAACTTTGGATCGCCTTGAAGGGTCGATAAATTTTTACAGATGGAAATAGGTTCATTAAAGATGAAGCCTAGTACTAGTGGCGCCTCTCTGTTCCTAGGGAACCTCTATACCGGTAAGTACCACTGAGTAGGGCAATATCTCATAGGGGAAATTGAGGTTGATGATAAGTTCAGAAAAGAAGCTTAACAGTATTGTTTTAAGGCGGACCATCAAAAAATGGTATGTCGATGAAAGTAGTTTGCAATGGGGAAGAGCAGAAATAAATAATAGTGGAACATCATGATGGGATCGTTGGAGGACATAGAGGGGTGAAAGGTACCTTTGAGAAGGTCATGAATCTTTACTGGTGGGATGGTTTGTAATAGGGATGTGGAGTCGTATTGCCACACATGCATGGAATGTCAAAAAAAGTCATAGCAAAATACAAGGAACCATTGTTTCCTTCTTATCCGACCGCTGTAGGACAAAAAGTTCATGTGGACTTAGTCAAGATGCCCAAACGTGAAGGAGAAATTAATTATATCGTGGATATTAGGGACGACCTTACTGTATTCGTAGAAGCGTGGACACTGCGTTAGAAGATAGGGAAAGCAGTCAGCGAGTATCTAACAAAATATATCACCCGATACATATGTGTAAGGAAGATCGTCATGGATAGGGAATCAGAGTTTATGGCTAAGGAAGTCCTAGATTTGCTCCAAAGAGCAGGAATCCGAGTCTCATTGTCCACGGAGTACCACACTCACAACAGAAAAAATGTGCCAAATTTTTTGCCACGTTGGACCTATGTTTACACCACATTTCAACTGTTTATAAACTGCTGGCCGGGGGGGGGGATGTATGTTCAACACAAAATGAAGGAAACCAAYACTGGCCGTATATTGGGGACACTGAAACTTGTGTGTTCAACTGTTGGACCAACTGTTGAAAAACAGTTGGTCCAAMTRTTGATCCATTGTTGGTGGCTTGTTGAAATRTTGTTGAAAGTTGTTRGAATGTTGTTGAAACTTTGTTGAAATGTGTTGAACCGTGTTGAAACTGYGKTGGAATTTGTTGAAGCAGGGTATTGGACCGTATGCACTAGCAGTTTCTACACAGGTCATTTGCGTTGTCCGGGGGTGGGTTGTGATTGTGTTTTCCTCGTTTTGTGGTGAGCACGTTTTGGAGTACGAAGATCACATGGGCGAGCGTTGGGTGTGCGCGCGCCGACCTGGCACGTGATGATTGCACTGACTGATGGAATTGAGGGATAAGAGACTGATGATGAGAGAGAGAGAGAGAGAGAGAGAGAGAGAGAGAGAGAGAGAGAGAGAGAGAGAGAGAGAGATGTTGCAGGCTGCTGACGACCACATTTCGGACCACGTACAAACAAGGTTGACTTTCGGTGTCCAACAGAGGTGCACATTTCGATAAAATGATGGGGGGGCCCTCGTACAAACAAGGTTGGCTACTGCGGGCCGAAACTTGTCGAACACGTCGGTGTCCGACACAATTTGGCACGCAGTAGCCAACCTTCCTTTTCTTTGTCCCTGAAATTGCTGCGTCCCGTTCTATATAAAACGATTTGGCGTGAGGAGTCGAGGTCCGCGTCACCCTGCCCTGCAACGAACAGTTCTCACCACCAGAACGAGTAAATTTTTGGACTTATTCTCTCACTTGTACGGAGCAGACGTGGGAGACCGTCGATTAAATGCTGGGCTGCCCTCGTACAAACAAGGTTGATTAGTGCGGGCCGCAAGTTGTCCAACAACGCAGGGTCCGTCGCATTTTGGCACGCAGTAGCCAACCTTCCTTTT